GGAAGCAGTCATATGAGGATGACAGAGATAAAATTTAGACAGGAAATAATTGAAGAAAAGCTCCCCCAAATTGGAAAGTTTAGTATGTTTGAGGATCAAAAGAAAGATGGACATCCATAGTGTTTAAGGATGGACTGGGAAAGGGAGGTTCTGCATGCATATAGAGATAGTCGGGGCAGCCTGTGATGAAGACAGCTGGAAACTCTTATTATTGTTTTCAGGGATCTGAGGGAGTTCATTTATTACTTTAAAACACAAATGCTTGTTATATGTGCACACAGTTGGGCTCTGGGCCTGAAAAGGGAGCAAGGAGCCAACTCTTGAGTCTTGGATAGCTCACCGAATGGCATAGGGAATGGATTGGATATTATCCCTGCTGCTGGCCAGCTCAGTCATTCATATGATATCTGGGAGATCTAGTGCCTCTGAAACAATGTGCAGCGTGACTCCTTTAAGAATGCTCTGAGCTTGCCTGTCTGGTCAGTGTCAGATAGAGTTGTGTGGCTGGCAGTCTTCTGCCTTTTAGCCAAGATGATGATCACATGAGCACCTGCTAATAAAGCACCTTAGAGAGTTCATCTTATTTCATCTGCTTACAGGCTGAACACTAATGTGTGTTGTATGCCAATAAGGTGACTCACTAGCAAATGATTGGCTGCAGGGAATATACACACACAGTCCTATACATAATACACACAAATGGAACCAATACTGCACAGCTGGAGCAAAGGGTCTCCACCCAAATGAGATCGTGTTAAGCCTCTTTAACTTTTTCATAATATGTATTACTATTATTAATGGTTCTTAAAAGTAGTGGATGTATATGCTACATGACCTGGGGTTGGATATACAAAAGACAAAATTTGTGAGTCATTTTGATTTAATCCTCTCCATATTTTCACTCATTAAACATTGGGTTAAGTTAGCTGTTACCATCTAAGAAGCAAAATTGATAAATACTGGGTTTTTTTTGTGTGTTGTTGTTTTGTGGTATTAATGAGGAAAACCTTTTCTGTGCTCATGCTCCATCCCACTGGTTTCCATAATGAGTAGTTGCTTATGTGGGATGCCAGTCATTCTCTAGCTGGGTGTTCCATGCAGATATGGCCTACCAAAGCATCTGGTGAAAGCTGTGTGGTTGCCATCTTGCTATTGTTTGGTAAAAAGGCTTACAAAAGGGTGTACATTAAAATATGGAGGATTCCCTGTTCAACTTCAAGGAGCCTAGCGGTCCAGAACTGGTTAGGGAAGAACTGAGCCAGGAATTGGGGGATGTGAAAACTCCCCTAAGCCACAGTTGCTGCTCAGAGGGACCTGGGAAAGTCACCAGTCAGCAGTGTAGTGGTGGGAACTACAGCCGAGCAGCCCTGGACCCTCCCAGTCTCACCCTGCTCAGCCAGATCTACTCAGCGATGAAGAAGAATCAAGAGCTTGGAATGATGAAGAGAGAAGAGGCAGTATGAACAGATCCTGAAGAGTTCTGCTCTTTGTTCCTGAGGTAGAAATTCAGAGAAGAGCAGCAATATGAATGGATACTTCTCTGGTAAATGCACCTCAGGGGCTGTTGACATTCTAGGATATGGCATTGAACTTCTGACAAGAGGAATGGGAACATCAGCATGTTGCTCAGAGGTCAATGGCAGGATATCTGAGATGGAGAATGGTTCCTCAAAAAATTTCCATAGCCTGAGCTACTGCCATGTTACAGCCAAGTCCTTGCTGGTGTCTATGGTCCAGGATGCTGCTGTAGGCTGTGTTGATACCAGAGGCCTTATGAATGTCCATGGTCCTGCTGCCTCTGGGGTCCATATTGATGTATGTGGTTTGTGCTGCCCCCCTGAAGGCATGTTAGTTTCCATAGTCTCAGATGCCACCAAAAGCCTTGTTGATGTTAGTGGGCCATGCAACTGTGTGAGGACTTGTTGATGACCATGGTTCTTGTTGCCATGGGAAGCCATGTTGTTGTCCATGGTCTGTCCTGCTACCCGAAAACATGTTGATCTTCATCATTTACACTACCATCAGAGGACATGTGGATGTCTTCAATCTGTACAGCCACTGGAGACCATGTTGATGTCCTGACCTATGCTGGGGCCATGGTGATGTCTGTGGTCCATGTTGCTGCCAGGAGCTCTCATGAGGTCCATGGTCCATGATGCCTCTGGATACCCTGGGGATGTTCATTGTCCTTGCAGCATTGGGAAATAATGTGGAAGTCCATGATCTGTCCTGCTGCTGGCTGTTATAGGCAGGGAAGCTTCTGTTTTTAGTGGTTTTGATGACTCTAGACTTGCAGTTGAGAATGAGAGACATTGAAAGATTCTGAAACAACCTCCTTCTCCCTCACCCACCCACCCCCCCCCCCCCCCCCCCCCCCGCCCTAAGAAACAGTCTAGACAGGAGGCTTTGAAGAGAGTCCTTAAAACTTGTGATAAAGATGCTGACACATAGCTCTTCACAATGAATGACTTCTGATGGGGGAGATGAAAAAGGACTCCACTATTTTGAAGAGGCTGGCCACTGGGATTTGACCATGCTCCAATGAGTATATGAGTAACACAAATTGTACTTGGTGTATTTTTTCGGGAGGTATGAACCTGGGAGGAATGGGATGTGAGTGTGATTGGGGTGCATTGTGTGGAATTCCCAAATAATCAATACAAATATTATGTTGGGAAAAAAAATAGGGAGGAGGAAGATGGGGAAAAGTCCCTCTTACCAAAGAGAAAACAACACTGTGGGAGTAGAGGCTGGCAATCTGCTAAAAGAAAAATATAGCAAATTCTTCATTTCTAAGTGTTTTCTTGACCCGTGATAATCAAACAGCGCTGCTAGAGAAGGGTAATTATCTTAGTTAGTATCAGACACCCTGTGGGTGGGGCCACCCTTCTCCTTTTGAAAAATGAACTCAGATTAAACAAATAGACCTTTCCTAGTTTATTGTTGATGTGAATTCCTAGAATATAAACCAAATTTATCTGTTTACCTCTTTCCCCCTATCTCATATAAAAACCTGACAAGCTTAGCTCTGTGCACTTCCCGTAGGCCTTGGGTCCAACAGTGTGATGGGTTAAAGTGCTTTGTGTTCTGGTGAGACTTGCAATTGCTGGATTATGGTTTTATTAGACCCCTTGCTGCTTGGCTCAGGGCAGAAACATGCTTTCTTAAAACAAGGGCAGACGGGGAATAAATTTAAAGAAAAATTAACAATTTTGTTTTCTCCAGCAAGTGTCTGGAAACTGAACAAATAATATATGCTGTATGTATACACAATAGACAATCCCCAAGTATAGTGGGTTGACATTAATTTTTCAGTTACAATAATGAGAAAGCATTCCAGTGGAGCCTTTCTGCTTTTCACTTACATTATAGTCTGCAATTAATATGATTGATCAGCACTTTATTTGAAAAAACTTTGCAAGTTAGATAATTTTTCCCATCTGTAGGCTAATGTTTTTGTACGACTAGGCTAAACCATGTTAAAACAGGTTAGCTGTATTACATGAATTTGTGAAAAGATACTTTTAGCTTACAATGGATTTATTGAGATATACCTCCTTTACAAGTCAAGAAGCATGTATGTATGTATTCACACAAGGGCAAATCTATGTATCTCATACATATATGTGTACACATGCATACACCATAGGTTCAAGTATAAAAAAGAGATGTGAAGCCGGGTGGTGGTGGCACACGCCTTTAATCCCAGCACTCGGGAGGCAGAGCTAGGCAGATCTCTGTGAGTTCGAGGCCAGCCTGGGCTACCAAGTGAGTTCCAGGAAAGGCACAAAGCTATGCAGAGAAACCCTGTCTCGAAAAACCAAAAAAAAAAAAAAAAAAAAAAAAAGAGAGAGATGTGAAATATTGATGTTATCATAACTATAAGTTTGCTACCAATAAACGATAAACTTTAATCCTATTTCTCTAGGCCTGGGTATTTTCTCAGACCAGAAATGTATATGTGTTACTGCTGTGGATATCACTCTATATAAATAAAACACTGATGGCCAGTGACCAGGCAGGAAGTATAGGTGGGACAAAGAGAGAGGAGAATTGGGGAAACAGGAAGAAGGAGGGGAGACACTGCAGCCACAGCCAGGACAAGCAGCATGTAAAGACTCTGGTAAGCCACCAGCCACGTGGCAATGTATAGATTTATAAAAATGGGTTAATTTAAGATAAAAGAACAGTTAGCAAGAAGCCTGTCATGGCCATACAGTTTATAAGTGATATAAGCGTCTGAGTGATTATTTTATAAGTGGATTGTGGGACTGCGGGGCTTGGGGAACCTGGAGAGAAGCCCTCCAGCAACATGTTACCCTGTCTAATTTGTAGAATAGATTACAACAATTTGTTTTATACAAAAGAAAACTTTTCTTTAAATATTTACTGGAAATATCTTGGGCTGTGAGTAATCAATTCAAGGAACCTGTGTGATAAGCTGCTTACCCATGTGTCACATCTGACACCGTGGCACATCTGCTATCTATAGATGAGGCTCACTGTGCCTTTCTGATTATCTGCAGTCTTTTAAAACTAAAATAGTCTACTATCAGACATTTCCTATGTTTCTATCATTTCTCTAAAAGGAAACCTGGCAGTATAATCATGGCGTTCTAACTAGCAAAACCACCTAGATATTCCAGTTGCTATTCTACTGCAGTGTCTTTACTGCTGGGGAAGATGAGCCTCAGAATGGGGGTCAGGTGGGAATGGCTCAGAATAGGTCTTGCCTCCTGCTGTAATTATCACAGCGAGCGCTGGTATCACTGTGCACATGACCATGTCTTTTCTTAAATTCTCCTCTGTGTCAAGGCCTCTCCCTCAAAGTAAACTAACCATCTTTTAAAGCTCTTGGTTGCCAAGTATTTCTTTATTCATTTCCTAGTCTTCAAAAGTTCAGGCCCCAGGTCAAGGGGACTCAGTGCTGTGTATATAAACTACTCCCTAAGAATACCACCCAAAGCAATCCAAACTTTCCTTAACCTACCTTACTGCAGATGTCCTTGTGTGCCCTCTGAGGCCAGTGGAGCGCTTCCGTGACCTACGTCCTGATGAAGTGGCCGATTTGTTCCAAGTGACCCAGAGAGTAGGGACAGTGGTGGAGAAGCATTTCCAGGGGACCTCCATCACCTTCTCCATGCAAGTAAGTGTACAGGTTGTTCAAACATGTTTCTTGTGTTTCTTTCCTTTCTTCTCAAAGCTATGTGTGGGGCTGTGTATCCAACCCATTTTAGCAGGGAAGCAGTTTTAGTTGTCTGCATGTACATAATAGCAGAAAAAAATGTCACCAATCCAAGGCAGCTCTGCTGTTCACTAGCCTCAAGATGGACTATGGAATAGCATCATAGCAAATGTCTGATATGCTGTTTACAAAGTAGGTGGAAGTCATAGACAAGAGATTTAGGGATTGAATTAGTTTGCTTCTCAGCTGTGATAAAACACAAACCAAAGGCAACTTGGAGGAAGACAAGGTTTATTTGGCTTTCATCTCTACACTAAAGCCCATCATTGTGGGAGGCTAGGACAGAAGCTTCAAAGTTAGCAACCTGGAGGCAGGAATGGAAACGAGACCACCAGCAGCACTGCTTACTGGCTTGCATCCAGGCTCACATCCAGTTACCCTTCTTAGATAGTCATGACCACCTGCCCAGGGATCACACTGCTCACAGTAAGCTAGACCCTCCCCAATCAATCAGTAATCTAGAAAATGTCCCCAGAGACATGTCCACAGACAAGTCTGATGATACCAATTCCAGTTATTTCAACTTTGTGTCAAGTTGGCAGAAATGAACCAGCATTGAGATTTATAACTAGAGTTGGGAAGGCTCTCTGTTCTGTGGTAAGTGTGTCTTGAGCATGCACAGGCTCAGGCCTGCTGTGGTTCCGAGGAGAGCAATGACTGGACAGCTAATCTAGGCCTTCTCTTCATAGGACTTACTTTTCTCTAAACTTAATGCAGACTGCAGAGATAAGTCACAGGTTTGTACAATAGGTTTTATTGGACATGGCCCACTACAAAATGAAGAAATCAGATTTTCAATCACTAGAGATCTACAGGCAGAACGTGATCTAGTACTCATCAGGTTGAGAGGAGAATGTCCATGATGTGTCTATTATCAGTTGGGAATTGAATAAATTAGCAGTAACATACTATGAACCCCTTCAGATCCCTATGGATAGGGCTAGGGACAGCAGTGCCCTGTGCTTAGAAGTGTGTAAACTCTGACTTCCCCCACATATGGGAACTGTATCCTCAGCTCTTCAAGTTAGCCAGGACGCTTCACATCTGCATCATTTAGTCTCACTGCTGTAACACAATACCCAACTGACCTAAATTATGGAAACAAAGGTTCATGTTGACTTACAATTTGAGATTAGGGAAATAGGAGGAGGAATACAAGTCAGTTGGTCGCACTGTAGCCACAGTGTAGCCCAGAAGGAAGATTATTGGTACTCAATGCACTCACTTTCTCCCTTTCATTAGCTAAGGGTACTAGCCTATGAAATGCTGTTACCCATTTTTAGCATCAAATTTCTCTCTTCAATTACTCTAATCTAGAAACTCCCTCATAGACATGTCTATAGATTTGTTCTAAAACACATCAACTCGACAATCAATTATTAACCAGCACACCTTCCTTATGCTCTTTCCTGAGCTTTTGCCAATGATGCCACAAAGAAGCCAGGGTGCGAAGGACCATCCGGGTTCATTGCCTGCCTCTTCCAGCGTGTCTCCCAGTGAGACTGGAGGAAAGGCCTCATGCTGTGAGCAATATGGGCAAGATATTAGGCCTTAAGGCTGCGTTGTGGACCTGATGAGATAAGCCCCTCTGATATCAAGCCCATAGTCTTTGCCTCAGAAGGCACAGGTCATCTCCTTCAGCACCTCCAAAGAGACTCAGTGTGGAAGCCTCCAAAGAGACTGAGTGTGGAAGCCAATGTATTGAAGTCTTTGACCAAAAATATTCATCTCTTCCTCAAAAGAATTTTTCTCCGTATTGAGAGTAGCTAAGCATTCCTAGAAATACAATTTGAGTCGCTTCAGACAGTAGTTCAACTTGGGATTGATTTATTAAAACAGTGTTGCAAACTGTTTCCAAGGAGACCAGGTAAAGGAAATGGATGAGAACATCTGCCAGAAGATACCAGTGTTGGTTATCAGAGCAGTTCCGTAAGTGTGGTGGCTGACGATGCGTAAAGTTAGAGCAATTTTGCATAAGTAAGCTAGTGAAACTGCTTTAAAATTATATCTCATGTCAGGGTCAAAGAGAAGCCCCCCAAGAAAGACCAACAGTCACATATGCAATTTAGCAAGAGCATTTATTTCCAACAGGTTGGGGTGGCAAATAGTGACCCCAAAAGGAGGTGGCAAACACCTTTTAAGTGGAGTTAGGAGAAATCCAGGGAGGCGAGGTTAATCTGCTACTGATTGGTGGAGGAAAGATTAGTCTGGGGGGCTGATTGGTGGGAGGCTCTAGTGGTTAGGAACCTTCCAGCTACAGGGTAGGAAAAGCTATCTTTAGCTAGGAAGGCAGGGAGCATCTGCTGAGCCAGCAGAAGGGGCTTGGGGGTGCCTGCTGAGCCTGCAGAAGGCTCTGGGGTACGTTCTGATTGTTCCCGGAGTTGTGGTCTTCCCAACAACTCTTTGCTCAGCTTCAGCCAGTTCCAGTAAACCGAAACTAAGGCCTGGTCTTCCAGGGCTATTAGAAACCTGTCATGGCTCTGTTCTGGCTCCCCAGACCTCTCACTTCACAGTAATGTGTGGGTGTGTAACAATCCTGTGTACCCCTCCCCTCTCACACACATGCACCTATGACAATAAAGAGCTCGAGTTTCACAGAATAACCTTAGCCCATCATCTACATTCTAACAGCTTTGGTCCTGTCATGCTTTCTTCTTAAGCACTGGTTGGAAACGATGGGTTGCCTCCATAAGCCACTAATGGGTTATGGCTCAGGTTTGAACAGATTTAATATACATGTCAGATTTGTGCTAGTGGGGCATGGATCCTTCCTACTAGTCAGGTTCACTGAGGGGTATATTTAGCCAAAACCACAGATAGGGAATTCTATTTTGAAATTTTTAATTACAGAGAAGTTTGCCACCTTCTACCTGGAGTATCTGCTTTCCCTTTGAAGGTGCTTGGAGACTGGGCCTGTGTACTCATTTTCAGCTATGACAATGACAATAGGCTGGGAGGGGGAAGAGGTACGTGGATAAGGTCCACTCGTAACAGTCACTTCGATTTTTCTGTCTCAAGGTCATAAGAGCTTGAAAGGACTGTGCCCATCTAAATGCCTTGTCTTCTTGCTTGGTTGATTTCTAGAGGAGAAATTTAATTAGATATTAATTAAATTATTTCTGATTTAAAGATAACCGAACTGTAGTACTTTGCCTCCCCAAACACTTTTAGCCTTACCTTTAATGTGATTAAAACCATAGCTGAAAGCACAGAGCATGAAAAGTAGAAAGGAGTGACTTGCTGGATAATTCATATCATTTTATACATAACTCCTCACTCAGAAGGTAGTGGAGATCTGCCTGGTCCCACACATTCAAAATGAATGGTCCCCATGGGAATACTACAAATTAACACACAATGAAATTGGATCTAAATTATTAATGAGCAATATTTCTGAATGAGCATGCAATATCATCAGTCAGTTCTCACCTCAACCCTTTTCCTTTCTTTCTCCTCCTTCTAGGATGGTCCTGAAGCTGGACAGACTGTGAAGGTGAGTGCGTATTATGTGCACACAAATTAATAAGGGGCGATTATGGTAACTAATAAAAAATCACAACGAGTCATTTGCAGCACATTGCTGTTTCATTATGTTATCTTCGAGGTCAGAGAGACCCTCAGTGTTAGAGCCATAAATTCTGACATTATAAACTGTGCCAAACAGTATGTTTCCCATTAGTTTACAAGACATTTACCCTTTGTTGTAAAATTATTACTGTGCAAGTGCTAAAACAGAAACTAAATCGAGGAGTCCTAAAACAGAACAGGGCAGAGTACATCAACTTCTTGTGGGTTTTATGCATCCTGTATAGACTAGAGCACCTGGTATATCTTTAGTTCTGCACACAATTTAATTTCACGTCTTCAGGAAAGGGACAGCTGTTGTGTACCAGGTGTGTGCCTCCTTTCCCTCCTGGTCCCTTGGCCCGTTTTCTCTTCATGCCCACACATTTCTCTTATCTCTAGCAACTAAATACCAAAGTTCAAACTTAATGGGATCAATGGAGTTGAAAACGGTTTTGAAGTGTACTAGAGAGAAAGGGAGGATTTATTATGAAGGCCTCTACTCACAGCAAAAGGACAGAACTAAAAAACCCTGCTGGTTATGAAGCAAGAGTCCAGCTTCTTTCACACAAACCTGAATTCCTGTGTGGTTGGGTTCAATGCTTAAGTGACAGAGAAGGCTGAGTTTCTGGTGGTGGAAATAAGAAGCAAGTCATATTATGCTGCTGATGCCATACAGTGAAATGAAGCTTTTGGGTTTTACGGCTGGCCTTGACTGGCAGGGTAACTAAGCATTAAGTCAAACCAAATGAACATGGTTCCTTTGTGGGAGTTTGGAAATAGGATATCTGGGAAGTTTCATGGTGAATGAATGTCTCAAAGGGAAAGCTAGCAAATTCCTAATGATCAAAAGAGTAGCCCCAGTTTCTCCAAACACATGACATGGAAAACACCTGAGGGGCATTCCGCTTCCATCCCTTCCCCTGTCCATTGCCATGTTAAGCATCCAAATATGCATATGCCAAAAGAGGATATCAGTGTCTTTGCTTTGAAAGTGATTCTTGAAATACAATGCATAGATATTCAAGCTTGGCTAGCAGAGTTTGAAAACTCAGAATTCAAATGTAAATTTCAAATGCACTGGATTGCTGTTTGGTGAAGTTTCAGAAACCATTGAAAGTACTAAAGGCAGAACTAACACATGGAAGAATGCGCAGCTGTGTAGTGGAACATATAGACTGATAAACATAGCTGAATTTTATGTGAACAGGTAGATTATGTGCTCTCAAGATTTTATTTCACAATTCTAAAGAGGGCATTTAAGTTATTTGGTATACAAAGGGACTTGAATAGGTGGGAAAAAGGAACTTAGAAGTTCCTAGGGGCCAGGAGAAGGATAATATAGATGTGACTGCTAATGGCTCTCTCTTGTGGTTGATAGAGATGTTACATATTTGGGGGATGGAGATTTTTTTTTAATGCAATCCTTTAAAGGGGACAAGTAAGCATTGAGTCCAGCAGGGCTAAGCAGCATGGCTATGGGGTCTCAGACTCCACAGTGTCCCACTTATCTGACCAGGGTGTCACGTTTTTGCTAGCTTTAATGGTGCTGATGATGCACTGATTTATAAATAAAGCCATATATCAATTATTGAATGTACTTACCATAACCAGCATTGTTTAGCTTAAGCTCATTTCTATAAACAATTCTATCTTTTTTCTTTAAAATAAGCATATTATGTTTTGAAAATCTTTTTGTTGTTTCCAGCCTGATCACAGCATTTCCCCAGAATAAATTTGTGGGGTCAACTCACATCCCTTGTGGAATACCATGCATAAAGAAAAATTTATCACACACATACCACACCACCCATACACACACATACACACATGCACACACACTCACATCCCACATACACTCCACCTTCAGTAGGTAGTAAACTTTTGTTAGCTATTCTGTCACACCAAGTCCTTCTATATAGAAGCGTATATTCTGTGGGTGTCAAACTGTGATGTTTACACCACATTGCATGAAACTTTACTTGAGTGTCAGCTAAACGGTACAGCCACCACCACAAATAACCTCAGCGTTGTTCTCATTAACCCTCCTAACTCATACTGCCATGACAGGACGGGAACGTCCGTTACTATACACAGGGTGATCTCAGAAGATGGGTACTTCGCAGCATGTGACTTTCTGGTGACAAAGTAACTCAGTGATGGTGTTCAGGTAACCAGGATGCATGGAACCTGGTCCTGCAGCCTCTGCAGGGAGCAGAGTGGTCAGTGATGGTGTTCAGGTAACCAGGATGCATGGAACCTGGTCCTGCAGCCTCTCCAGGGAGCAGAGTGGTCAGTGATGGTGTTCAGGTAACCAGGATGCATGGAACCTGGGCCTGCAGCCTCTCCAGGGAGCAGAGTGGTCAGTGATGGTGTTCAGGTAACCAGGATGCGTGGAACCTGGTTCTGCACCCTCTCCAGGGAGCAGAGTGGTCAGTGATGGTGTTCAGGTAACCAGGATGCATGGAACCTGGTCCTGTAGCCCTTCAGCTTCCCCAGGGAGCAGCGCGACACCTTCAGAACCCACTTGTATCATTTGAAAGTTCCGGGTTGAGGCTGGGAATGGTTCATGTTTCGAATTTTGAAGGGAGGTTCAACAGCCTAATGCGAAAAGCATGGGGCCTATCCCTTTTTCTGTTTCTTTGCCTGTGTGTGAGATTCTCAGTACTGTGTCTGATGTCTGAGTTCTGAACCACTTTTGTCTCATGCCAGGTAGTAATAGCAATAAGCCCAGTGATGGTCTCTTCCCCTGAAGCAAGTGTTGTTATTGTTAATGAAGGTACACCACTGAGTTAGCCTCTTGAACATGATGGCACTTCAGGACTTTTTTTTCCTGAGGCTTTAGATTCTGCCTAGCAACACGCAGGGTGGCCTAGCTTACTCAGTAAGACCCATGTAACAAGGAAAAGGAAATATTGAAGTAAAAAGTGACCTCTTATTTCACAATTGATTATTCGGTTTTCTTCTCAAGTTTAAAAGTAGAACACTGCCAGGCACCAGATGATCAGTGCAGTGATCTGGACACCCTGCAGGGTTAAGAAGTAATCTCTGTCTCCTCTTTCAGCTACTCAACCCTTCCCTGCACCCACCCAAGCTGTGCTGGAAAACATCATGCTCCCTGTCCTGTTGCCTAGCTGGATTCCTGTCGAGAAATTCTTCATCGTCTCTTACACATTTGTCCGTTTATATATGTTCATTTTTTTGTTGTTTCCTTAGTCTCCAGGGAGTATATGTACACTTTATGATTTTTGGATTCTATCATTATCGATGGAGCTTAGAACATGTTATCCAGGAAGATGACCCTGGGATTGTTTAAGATGAAGGAAACTGGGAAACTGTGGCAGGAGGAAGGTTCACTCTCCAGCCTTGTTCTGCCATTCAACTTTGAAGTAGGCCATAAAAGAATTTCCTGACCTACCTACCCCAAAAGTAGACATAAGACACTCCCTCCAGAAGGGCCCTGCTTTTTTCTGGTAAGCTGTGAAGACTCTGAACAAGCAGGCCTCACTAAGCCACCCCAGCATATTGCTGTTAGATCAGAGTGCTGCTTCCTTTTCCGATCCCACTTCTGTCCATAAAAATGCTTTCCCTGTTTCTTCAGGTCTTTGTGTCTGAAGCTTCTCTCAGCACATCAAACTTAATCAAGTGAATGTGCTTCTGTTTTCCCTTGTTAATCTGAATGTTTTTGCAGTGATCTTCACCCTAAACAATAGGAAAAGAGAGGGGAGAGGAGAGAAGAGGAGAGGGGAGGGGAGAGGAGGGGAGTAGGGAAGAGGGGAGGGGAGGGGAGGGGAAAAGAGGAATGTTTTGCTTGAAGTGAGTCAAATGGGGACACAATGACTTTTTGTACTGAGGCCATTATCTGCTCCTTAGTTTCTATCATTAGTCCTCAGAAAGTAGCAATTGATGTTCATCTGTTTTCCATTGTACGTCCAGGCATCGAGGTTTTCTGAAGTTTCTATGAAATATTCCCTATATTATGAGTATCAGACTAAATTTTCTATAAAATATGTTTGTAAATTGAAGTGTTTATGTAATTATTATTTTATTAGTAAAAACTCAAGAGTCAGATATTGGGCTAAGAACCTGACTGATCAGAGAAGCAGTGGAGGAGTGACCAGTGACCTCTCTCTCCTTCTGTAAACAAAAAGACTGAACATCTCTCTAAGCCCCTCACTACTATTTCTCGTGTTTTGCCATATGTCCTTGGTTCTCTAAAACCTCTATGGCTAATTTTAGTCAGCTAGTAGCTAACTCTGCTCTCTGATTCAAAGTAAACTTTATTGTCAGTCTCCAGAGTGTCAGAGTGTGATCAAAATATCCCACAACGCTAACTCCTAATCCTGAGTGTAATTCTAGCCAAACCAAAGCCCTAAGGTGTACTCATTCCTGTAAAAAGGAAGGCTTTCTAGCAAGCTTAGTGTGAATCATTTTCTCTGAGGCTGTTACGTGGGTGGAGGATGCGTTGGGTATGTTAAGGGGAGAGGTTTACTCCTGGTGGGTAATCTCAGTCTATAGACCATGCTTGTACATAGTGTTCCATGTTTGTGATGCTTGGGTGTTGTACTTAAAGGTTTAATTTTATGCTTTTAATGTAATAGGAAGTATGTCTTAATAAATGTTGAAATATTAACATTTACGTTCTAGATTGGTGCAGCAGAAAAAAAAGGAGTTCTTTAAAGAAATGTTATTAAAACTTATCTTCAATCTCCTGTTGCCTGTGGCTGTTTTTAGTTTCCTGGATCAGGAGGTCTTACACATGATATGGAGGTCTAGCCATCTTGTAGTTTAGTGCACATAGAGGACACTTAGCTGGCAGCAAAGTCTGAAAGTTGATGTGCCTTGACATCTGTCAGAGGTGCCATAGGAAGTTGAGCTCTCTATCTTATTAACTTTGCCACTCTGGGGCATCCTCTTAACTGCGAACCT